GCGATAAAAAGTATTTTATGTTACTCTACAGCCCTTCAACTATCTCCACAGAGAGAATCACACCAATCCGTCACTGCGTTGCGACGTGAAAGAAGGACAAACAAACAAAAATACAAACAAACAAACAAACAAACAAACAAACACACTTTCACATTTATAATATTAGTATGGATGTATGATTTTTATTGACGTGCCTACCTCACGAGCGTAGCTCTACGTACATACAAAATATAATATTATTTTGTATGTTTGATAAGTTATTTGGATGCTTGTGACTCAATCACGCGTAAACCGCTGAAGGAATTTAGATAAAACTTGGCACGCAGATAGAAATGTTCTCAACTAACTCATAATATATTTTTTACGGTAACTCTTTTTATCAGCATACGCCTGTATGTAAGTGTACATTAAAAGTGAGGATTGAAATTAAAAAAATGGAAAAGTTTGAGTGAGACTCAACATGAAACTTTAAATGATGTGTTGATTTTAACATAGAAATATGTCATAACAAATGTAAAATAAATTATTTACCTATTTACGATATTGCCTTTTACTAACGACATAAATAAATTTATGTTTTATAGTATAACTATGAGATATTAAGCTAATTTTGCGGCCGAAATAATGAAAAAGAAAATATTCTATATCTCGAAAACGACTCAACGTATCTTCTTCAAAATAATTTTCGTTTCGTAAAATGGCCGTGATATACGGACAGACGAAGTTTTGAGAAATCATTCTATAAGAATAAGAGAAGAGAAATCTGAATTTCTAAAGGAGACGGACATGGTGAAATTATAAGGTTTCCGTTTTAGCTATTTGGTTACGAAACCCCAAAACCTCCTTAAGTAGATCAAAACTTTTAATAAAAATAAAGCTGTAGGAATATTTTCTCGAGTAAAACTTTTCCTTTAATTAAATGATTATTTTACTATGATGTACATACAACATATTTGTATAAATGAAGTATGTGTAAAATGATAAATTACAATCTGCGAATAGCGTACTCTATGCTCAGTTGTAATTACTGACGACTCTGACTCATTTACGGTTAGGCTAATTGCTTTCGCTTAGCTAAGATTATATGTTCTCTCAGATGACACAATATATAGAGGACACAATGCTTATCTTGTAAAGATTCATTAACTTGTACATAAAAGATATTTTCTATATACCTATTAGCTTTTATATTTACTTACTAGCATTGCCAGGGGCTCCGCCCGCGTCCACATGACCAAAAACCAAATTCTTAGGTTTTACATATTAGTATACTCTTACATTGCAGTTTTTGTATTTTTTCTAAGAAATGAGATATTTTCTAGCGGTAAAAAGTATCCTATATGTTGACCCGGATAACCAGCCATCATCATAAGAAATTTCATCAAAATCTGTCTAGTGGTTTTCTAGTGATGCGGTAACAGACAGACAGACAAAAATTCTAAAAACTATAGATTCGGACTTCGTATCGATAATAATGCTTATTTCAATCAGATTTTCCAAAAAATATTTAATGTACAGATTCGACTTAGTTATAATTTTATTAGATGTATAGATTATATGCAGCTACCTCATAAATATTAAATTTATTTATTATTTAATACAAATGTAGGTCTCATATCTAGAAATCGGTATAGTATTATATGATCTGTGTCGGTATCTAATTAACTTATCTGTTTTTGGCTCAAGAAATAAAAGCGATTTGTAAGAGAACGAATATTGTGGCTTTAAAGGATAATAATATAATTACTTACTCAGTAGAGAATTTATCTATATTAATATCATAAATATTAAAATACCTCTGTTACCATTTCACGCTGAACACATATCGATAAAGTTTGGCAAGGACGTAGAAAGCATTTTGAGGATGGACAATGAACATAGCTGCCTTTGATCCCCGGGTTAGTTATCACGCGAGCAAAGCCGCGGGTGAAAAGTAGTAATATTATAAAGTGCAGAATGAATTGCAAAAAAAGTTAGCTTGTTATTTTTGTAGCTTTAGTCGCTCGTGATAAAGTCTGACTTCATTGCAATCCTTTATATGGATTCCATATAAAAGATTGCGAAAATATATAGAATGTTTCGATCATCCTATTATTATATCCTCTAAATAACCGACGCTTGTTGGTCAGCGGATGGACGTTTATATTTATATTATCTTATCAAGGAGCACATTCATTTGTGACGCCGCTATCAAGCTGGGTCGGAGACATCAACGGTAATGGAGGTCTCGGCCTTCGATTACACCTAACAAGGATACATTGATATTATATTTTATATACCTACATATAGATGTAATTGTTATTCATAGTATTGGTATTTTTTATACTTATATAAAAGTATATGTATAAAAGAATTAAGATTGGTTTACAAAAATCAAAATATACTTTTTTGTACTTTAATTATGATTCGAGAAAAGCGAAATGAAACATGATTTTCAAAATTTGAACCTTACTCAAAATGCTTACAATTTTTTAATGACTTAGTTTAAAGATACATATATATGTAGGTACTAGCATTGCCCGCGGCTCCGCCAGCGTTCTGATGACCAAAAACCAAATAAAATAGCGCTATTATTATTTTTTTCAAGATAAGCTATTTTTAATAGTTTTTGACTTATTTAGTAAGTTACCTTGCTAAAATATATATAGTATCATCGTGGTTTTATTCTAATCAGTTTTTGTATTTTTTCTCAGAAATAAGATATTTTACCGCGGTAAAAAGTATCCTATATGTTGGCCCGGATAGCCAGCTATGACCATACCAAATTTCATCAAAATCCCTCCATTAGTTTTTCTGTAATGCGGTAACAGACAGACAGACAGACAGACAGACAGACAAAAATTCTAAAAACTGTAGATTCGGCCTCTGTATCGATAATAATGTCTATTTCAATAAGATTTTCCAAAGAATATTTAATATACAGATTCGACTTAGTTAGAATTTTATTATATTATGTATAGATATAGATAATTAAAACAAGATGTCAAGCGCGTGCCAAAATATGGTATTTGTACATTATACATTTTATTTGTCATTTTGTTTGTTGTTTTGTGTGTAATAAAGAATGACTGAAAAACAGTAAATCAATGAGTTTTTGCATAGAAATAGTTTAAGTACCCGAGAGTGATAAAGATTTCTTTTAATCCTAGTAAATTAAGTAGTAGCCTGGAATATCGTAAAATTTAACATTGAAGGACGCAATAATAGTAGTTAGGACTTAATTAAAAAGAATTGAGACTACTCGCTAGTGAAGAATAAATATGGTAAGACTTGGGAAACCAAGTGAAGCGGGTTCAAATCCCGGATCTCGCAAGTCTAATAATCCCATGCTGATCATTTCTACCTTATTACCACTTGCTTTACGATAAAGAAATATACTGTAGGAAACCTGCATATCTGAGAGAAACTAGCAAGTTTTCGAAAGATATCTCAAGTACGCTAACCCGCACTTGGCCAGCGTGGTGGACTATGGCCTAATCCCCTTCACATTAAGAGGATATATACACATATATATATATATATATATATATATATATATATATATATATATATATATATATATAATAAAGTTCTAACTATTTCAAATCTGTACATTAAATATTTTTTGAAAATCTTATTGAAACATTATTATCGAAACAGAGGCCGAACTTATAGTTTTTAGAGAATTTGCCTGTATGTCTGTCTGTCTGTCTGAGAACGTATCACACATAGAAAATTACTGGACAGATTTTAATGAAATATAGTACGATGATAGCTGGTTACTTGGGTCAGCATACAGGATACTTTTTACTGCGGGAAAATATCTCATCTCTGATAAATCTATACTAACCGGTAAAATGCTCCTAGAGACGAATCCGAGCGGAGTGAGGGTGAGTCGCTAGTTAAATTATAAATAACATTTTGTTTATTTGATGATCAATGTGAGAATATTTTCTATAAAATATATTATTGTAAGCGTTGTTATTTTAGATAATATATAGAGAAAATATATTCCCAAGGAGGGTTGACGTCAGGCAGGCGGCCGGTCGTAAAACTTTTGCCAAATCCTATCAGCAGTACAGAAGATGTACTGCGCCGACCCCAAGTGATTGAGAAACAGGGCAGGGAGAAGAAGAAGAAAGAGAAAATTTATACGAAAAAATGTGCTACTGTGCAAAATTACGAAATACCTACACTTTGCTGTCATTTGGCATGATTATTCCTTAAGACTCTGGTTGCAAGACTACCGTAGGATTAAATTGATTTCTTCATTTTTTAAAATTTACCTATCTCTATACACCTAAGGCTAGACGAATATTCGTCTATCTAATAAGTACAAAAAAAACATACATTCATTACTTTTGTAATAGTTTTATATTAATTTCTCATAATATCTTCAATATCCTATAAATATGACCAATACAATAATAACTTCTTTACTAAATATAACTACCACCATATTTGACCTTAACACTAACAGCTATTCATTTTTCTGAACAATTCCCAAACTGCTTTTCTAAATGGTCTCGTTACAGCCAACCATATCGATATTCCGAATATAAGTATAGGCTATTACACTAATGACTCGATTATCTCATTGTTCTCGTTTCCTTATCTTTTCTAAAATATTCTAATTACAAACATTATTTTATCTTTTATGGTAAAGTGAAATTAAAAAGCTTGCTATGTAACTCCTTTATTATTTTATGTTATAAGAACGATTATATATTTTGACTTAAGAATTGAAATTTGTAATGATAAAATTTTATTAATTACATAATAATCCACGTTTAGATTGTAAATACAAAGCAAGTTTATTGCTTATTTTCTTTTTGTGTAACAAAAGATCAACCTTACAGAGTTTTATGGTTATTTTCTGCATGAAACTAGTTCATGGGCCATAAAGTACCTTCTTAATACGATATGGTATTTGTAGTCCAATTGTCACCGTGATATTTATAAGCAAATAATCAAATATAGAGGATGTATCCATTTGTATTCACTAATATTTTTTTACTTACCAGTAACAAGGTTGGCATGATGGAATTGGCAGACCGCGTCAGCCTCGTACCAGGAGATGCGGTCTCTGAAGTAGCGATAGAACACTGGAAATCCCTCCTCCGGCAAAACCCATGTGTTACTGATGTTTACCTTAAAATATTGGAAATAATATATAAATCTAAATGAAATCTCTTTGGATTGTGGTAAGTTACAAAATAGAAAAACGTTTCATACATGATTATTAATAAGCTCAGATATATTACTATAAGCTACAAATGTTTAAAAATTAAAAAATAAGTAAAAAATATACCTATTTACATTTATATCTTTTAAAATATAAACTTAACTTAACATTAGAAAGCTTATTATGTTACGTAGAATTCACTAAACTTGTACAATGTTATAAGTACAACTAAAGAAAAATCTTAGCTAACTCTATTAGTAAAGATAAAACCTTTGTTAAAGTAAAAATAAGAGTAAGTATTTTAAGAACGAACGTGAGAATGCACCAGCGGTACTAATTAACTACACTAGGTACGTAAGTTTAATAAAAGTTGGAATTGGCCCGCAGAATCTCTGAGCTGTTTTATCAAATCGGCGCCGTTCGTAATTTCCTGTTCACTATCATCTGTTTGATCTACTCTGTTCCGATTGCTATTAATAGCGTATGATTCCATTAAAATCTTTATTCGTTTAACGTTCAGAATTCAACTTCAACGATAATATCACAAATACTTGTTTAAGCTATGAGTAAATTGGTTTGACTGGTTTCTTATATATGTACCTACATAATACGTACGTAGTGGTTAATTAACTAAATATTTATTATGGAGGCATAAAAGAACATGATTACCTATTATCAAACTTACAGCTAGAATTTTAGTGAAAATATACTTATCTTATTGAAAATAATTCGAAAGTTCATTATTTAAAACATTAAACCAGAGAAGAATATGCCCCAACCGGGAATCAAACCTGCGCACACAGTGGACTAGAGTAGCTTCCCGCATATATACCTAAAGGGTCTCACTTAAATTCTTTTTTATATCATTAGTATTTTTATAAAAAATCGTATATATTACATATCAATTAATTAGCTTTTAAATATAAAAATATATGATATTAACTGTAGGTATTAAGTTTATATGAATAACGATAATATTCTTATTTGTCTCTTTTATTTATCTCGTTATTTGGATTTAATAAGTTCAAAGGAACTCAATCACTTGGAATGCTTGGATGGAGATGCCATGGAGAGAGTTAAGTGACAAACATTAGTTTGATATGATGTATCTTCCAGTATTCACCTCTGAGTAACCAACCATAGAAAAATGCCCAAAGGTGTTCACTAACTGTAAAAAATAAATCGCAGGATCTGGTATGAACGAAGTTCCTTTTGCTGTCTGCCTTTGGCTCATAAATTAGGACATAAAAATTGTCACGAGTAATAGTGTACTACAAACCTCAAGGAATGACCATTATATATCATCATCTATACTCGTACGTACCATCCATTATATGTATATGAACCATCTTAACAGTGCGTACAAAGTAGTTACTTCATATATTCCTTAACATTTTATGCTCGCCTAGTACTTATGTTGACGTCACATGGAGTGCTCTCAGTAAATAATAAAAAGTGTCGTGACGGTCAAAATATTACACGTTTTTCCGTCTAGCTCTCACTCTCCAAGTGTATCAAATATAACGTCCGATAAGCGAGTTCGTTCCAAAATATGTGAGCTAATTAAAACTAGCATGGAGTTTGGATGATGATGATAAAAATGAGCTGTTAAATTAGACTTCCATGAGTGACTGAACTGAAATGACTTGAATGCCTTGGATTAGAACCCCACATGGGCGGGGACTCAGCTCTTGCTCTCCACTTTGGACCAAGGAAGGCAAGCCAGAAGAGAGATATAGCACGTTCCCTTTGAGATCTTAGGTCTTCGGTCATGGATCGCTACTCACCTATAATATTATTAATACTGTATCGTTTGAATTCTACATCACAGAGCTTTCTCAAATGAAATGGCTTCACGAATACATACAAAAGGAATCGATATTCAACTGTTTCTTAACTAACAGTTTGCATAGTCGAGACAGAGCTACGCCGATAACATAATTAACTAGCTATTCCTTCGAGTCTCTATTTGACTTAGTGATTCAAATAATCTCTCTCCATTGTCACAGTTCTCAATTATCAATTTAAAAACTAAATAATATTACCGTATTTCGGGTTCTTTGTTTCACTAAGACTTTTAAATTCTATTCATTATTAAGATATTCCAAGATCGTATTATAATAGAAATTCAATAGTTATCGAACCGTTCTAATTATAGCCACATTTTTACTTTCTTAAAGGCCTAAATTTTGAAAACTCTAAAGATACCGGTAATAACATCTGTCAACCATGTCTTATAGTCAATTATTTGGGTTCTTTAGGTCCATCGCATCGTATAGGCATTCTGTTGCAAGCATTCGTAGGACCAGTTTATATTTATGGGTTTGAAGTACTGATGACCAGCGGCCTGCCTGGCTTGGACCTTCTTCAGCCGACGTTATTGTTACATCTATTCCGTCCAATCTGTCTCTCTAGGAATCAAATGTAAAAAAAGCTTTTATTATCTAATTATCTCATAGGAAAATTCAGTCAGTACTAATAAGTATTATTTGTAGTAATATTATTGAAATCCTAATTTGGAGCTCATAATAATAATATAAATTGGCAACTTACTGCCTTTTTTCATTGCTTACTGTAATTTATTTCAAAATGGTATATAACCTGTACAGTGAGCAAGGTACATTAAAAACATCGATTTAAATCTCCTTAAACATTCTCAAGTGATGGACGATTAAACAAGAGACAGCTGATTTCCTTTAAAAGCGTTATTAAAATCTTTAATAATAGACAACGTTATACGAAGTTAGCCAGCGCGGCGTTATGTTCATAATTTATATAAAGGTATATATTCAAGTATTATCGCTAATATTATATTTGTGAAGTTTTTTTCCATATAGGTTCTTAATTACTTTTAAATGGTTACAAATGGTTATAATGTTAAAAAAAACAAATTTATACATAGGTATAGATAGTACTTTTAATTTAACGGAACATTAAAGTATAAATTCAATAACTTAAATTAATATTTTAAATTAAATAAGCACGTTCCACTAAGGTAGTGGTAGCCTAGTGATAACGCGCTCGCTTGGGAAACCGAGTGAAGCGAGTTCAAATACCGGGTCCTTTCTTTTCTTTCTATGATATTTTCATGTGCGAATCATTTCCAACACGATTACCACTTGTCTTAACGGTGAAGGATAATATCGTGAGGAAACCTGCATGTCTGAGAGAACCTAGCAAGTTTTCAAAAGACATATGAAGTCCGCCAACCCGCACTTGGCCAGTGTGGTGGACTATGGCCTGATTTCCCTCGTACTGAAGCGAGGCCCGTGCCCAGCAGTGGGACGTTAAAAAGGCCTGAATACAAGCACTTTCCATTTCATACAGTAACGAGCATGTACTATTGTTAATGTAGTATTAATTGTGTTAAATAGAAGGTCACCTTTGATATTATAAAGGCCTGAAATGTTATAAAATATTACTTTCCATATCATTTATATGATAGAAAGATACGAGCACTCTGAATGTTACAGAGATACAGATTTTGCTTTAAAATTAAATGAGACGTCAGTTACACAAATATAATGTAGCAAATTTATATTGTTATAATATTTTCCTCATTCCTTTCATCTTTCTCTTCTGGAGTAGACAGTGAGATGAATGATTGATTGATTCGTGATTTAGATATTGCGCAGACGGTTGGGAAGTAGTCAATATAGCGCTTTGTTTTATCAGGCCGATATTACTTTCGAACCCTTCCAAATGGAACGGAATATCATGCCCCGTTATTTATTACACAAAAATTATGAATCATACAAAAAATGTTATTTAGATTTATGCCAGTCTAGTTATATATTTTTTGTGTGGCTTATCCCACAATATGGCTATGGATTATGTACCTATTTCTTTAGAATAAATAATTGAATTGAATTAATTGAATCGTTGATTGAGCTGAAGCACTTATTTTAGAACTTCAAAATGATTTCGTGATTATCTCTTTAAATTAATAATAAATATTTGAAATAAGTACTTTAAACACGAGATCTATATAGATACTTATATTATTTGATTTTGTTAAGAGGTTTTACTAACACTTCGGGTTCGATTCTGGATATTTAATTTTTCTATGTTTAATAGAAAACTTATTCATATAAAAATTTATGAATGCTATAATTTATTCGAAATTTATATTCACAAATATAACAAAAAACTCAGTCGCAATCTTAGTTAATTATCCGGAAGAGGAAACTTAATTAGGCATACGTGGAATATTCGGATGTCGGAATTAACCTCCGGGCGGAAATTCCCTGCGGAGCTTAGAATGCTTCGTTACAGATACAAGATAGGCACATACTTGTAGCGTTAAATGAACGTTATGAATTCATAATATACATATATTTCAAAGTGGATATGAAATAAAAGTTGCTTATTTCAGGGATTTTCTTTGAAATTAAATCTTTCTTAAATTGAGTATATGGAGTTACTTTGCAAAGTATAAAACATAGTATTTTCACCAATTGTGTATAATTATACTTTTTAAAAACATATATATATATTATCTTCAGATCGCTGTTATATACATAATTTAAAATATTTATCATATATGTTTTATTATTTTCTTACTGAACTTTATTTCAAAATAGATTAGATCAAGATAAAAGCTATATGTACAATGTACATTGTAGAATTCCAAAAGATTAGATAGTAATGTTATTTTGCGTAAAAACAATACATGGCCTAAGTGTATAATCAATAAACTGAAATAATTGAAATCTTTTATTGTAACTAATAGTCTCATTTTACAGCAGAAACGAAATATTTTATGATAAATTTAGCAAATAATTAATTGAAAATAAAAATATTTTTTTAATATTTATGTGTTAGATATGGATTTATATAATGTTATTGTAAATGAAAATAAAATAATAAAAAGTTTTTTTTTATATGAAATGAGAATTTATTTTATTTGTAAAATGTTAATCTAAGTAAAAAAAACATCATTGTAAAATAAAAGTAACATTAAGATTATTTTAAATTCTTACACGGAAAATTCTCTTAAGTGATAAATTACATCTACGAGGATCCAACCGTAGACGCTAGAAAGTTATCTCAGCCCGCTAAGCGAGTACAAAGAATAAATGTTTAACGATTTGAATAAGGAAAAAATTTGAAAGAAAATGATAATGTTAAACGAAATTAATTTGATACTCTTATTAAATATACAAGTATCATACGTATATAATATTATATTTATAAATTATATTATTTTTGTATAGTCTCATTTCTGATAAATGTTGAATGTATATAAAGCTATAAAAGAAAAAGAAAGTCATTCTTACCGCGCGTCCTTGGACTGTGACGAAGAGAGTCAAAAGTAGAAAACACCACATTACGTAGCCGTAGACGTAGCGTAGCACTGACGTAGCTCGTAGCGACTGTAGAGGTCAGCCGCGCTCGCGTGACTGCCGCGCGCTAGGCTCGCGTGCCGCGCCGCGGCCACACATTACATAAACAAATAGACAATAACGTGGATAGGGATAGCCCACTTTTGTTCTACTTGCACTTACTATATTTGCTAGGGTCAGGGTCAATTTATTATACTAAGATCTGAAATATATATAAGAGATATATTAGATATTCCTATTATGGAAGAGATTTATACAACAATTATTTTTTATAAGTTTTGTAAAAGTATTGCATCATATTTGTTATAAAACAAATTTGGCATAAACTTTTTTCAACGTCTTTTTTAGATAAGCAATACATATTATCACACTATATGTATACCTTAGCCGTAGGTAATTATGATTTTTATATTCTTTTAAGCTCTAACCTTGTTATTCTTATCGGACTTTTGACCTTACCTTGTTTAAAAGTAAGTACTCTTGCACTTCACACTTAATTAAACATACAAAACATAGCAAAATACTGATGATACGAATCATCTTTTCAGTTTATTCGGACTTCAAAAACAATTTTATTAATAAACATTTTAATATAAATATATATTATTTGCCACGGCTATGAAAGTTTGTTTTTTAAATTTAAAATTAATAATGTTAAGAATGAATATTTATAATTTTACGCAATAATTAATGCAAAAGCTAACTTAAATTTAAGCAAAGAATCCATTGGCGGCGTTTTACTTAAAAGCAATTTCAAAGAACATCACTATAGCGTAATTACTTGAGTAGGTAAGTAAAATAATAGTGATGTAGAACATTCAATGCGCCAACATCTTCAGGTACAGTATAGTAACGTTTACCGTAGCGTACAGTCGCAGAATATCATGCTTATCTAAAACCTTTTCATAGTACAAGAGCATAGTGAAGTCGTAGCATAAATGAGCTAATATTTCTTGTACACTGCAAGTTCTATTCTCGTTTAAGTCAAACACTTATAATTATTATACTACGTCAATATGTACTGTACCTAAATAATAAATAAATAAATAAATTTGTTGGGACATTAACACACAGCACCATCTAGTTCTATGGTAAGCTAGGAGGCTTGCGCTATGGATACGAGATAGTTGATACACTACACATATATAACTTTAAATACATACATAATATAAATATAAACACACATGACACAGTAGTCGTGCTCGTCACACAAATGAATGCCTCCAGCGGGACTCGAACCCGCGACCGCTGACACAACAAGTAGGGTCTCAAACTGAGCCAAACGTGTCATCAAAATGACCTGCACTCTGACAAGGCACACAGAACAGATAAACATACAGGACCTCATATTAAAATATAAAAGCAACTCTGTCTATTTTATTCTATCCTTTCTGTGTTTTTTTCTCGGTTATACTCTTTCGCAAAAATCAAGGTAACTGCTGAATCGATTTACATCACATTAAGTATGAGAATGTGTTTAGGTAAAAAATAGGATTCTTATAAAAACACAATATCTTAGGAAGGTAAAAATAAAGTTCTGGGTGCAGGTCGGGTGGGACGCGATTGACATATAATTTTGGCATTTAATCGAGGGTAGATTTAAAAAATATTTCTTATTATATTTATAGGTAATTTCATGTTCTATACATTTTGTTATATCTATTTTTGACCTAGCAGAACTTTGGAAAATTATTATTGAAGACATCGGCTGGAACTCTTTTTACAGAAAAAAAACATCATATACTTTTGGATTGGCAGTTGCAAGCATACTATCTTACTCTAGACAAAGATACAAACTTTTCTGTTTACAAAAAACAATACAGAGCCCAAGAGACAAAATTAAATTTCGGAATATAGGTACTCGTACTGTACGTATAAGACCATGAATGTGCCGAATCAAGCCGACCAACAAATAATATTTGTGTTTCGACCCGTCCCTATTAATAATATTGGTCCCGTAAAATTGGGGTCAGAGTGCGTAAGGCAAGGATTGAGTAATATTTATAAAATGAAATCATGAAATGTAATGTATGTGGTTTTTTCAATGAATAACATTTAAAAAATATTTTGATACATATTACAATGTAAGTGAAATATAACACATATAATAAACATAAAATTAAGTAACATCAGTCATTTTTTTATAATAAATCCCATAGAGCATTTATAAAGCTTATTTATACTTACTCAGTATATCCTATATTATGCGACTTTACGTCAATATTTATAGAAAGAGTGACTGTTTTAAAGTTTACTTTGAATATTAAAAACTGAAAATTTTAACAATCAAAATTTATTATTAATAAAATTAAAATAATCTTTTAATAAAAATATATAATAGTATTTATTTAACAAAAAATATGAGTTTAGCAATATAATGACATTTAAAATATATAAATAGCATACACGAACATAAAGCAACTTATAGCAATTCACGTTGCAGTAATATTTTGTTATTTTTCAGCTTCATACACCGTTTTCTTAACATATTATTGCGGTGGTTAAAACATTGATAAAATTTTAGTCATTGAATGGTAGTAGTTACTGTATTTTATTATTTAAAATAATTCACCGCATATTTAGTATATGTACGTCCAAAGCCTTAGTACATTCGCACATCCATCTCGTTAAATTAAAGTATAAAGAATATAAAATTGGCGCATTGCAGAGAGGTAGTAAATTGATTGGTCGAGCTTGAATAACGATCGCATTACTTCATACTGACTGATGAAAAATAATATATTTTATTATAATATTCTAGAAACCTGCAATGATATAAAATATATTCTTATATGCCTCCAGAATTTTAATCAAGAAATATGCTAGTATTTGACATTGAATACAAAATGTAAAATGATAGATCTTTTTAATTTATTTTTTTGTGTTATTCCAAAATCACCTCGTACAAGTACAAGCTTACTATTTTACCTTTTAGTGTTTTGGGTTAAGAGCAATTATAGTGGCAGCCGGACAGATACACTTGAGACGGGCCTCTCAGTCTCGGACGGGAAAAATGATAATCAGCTTTCCAAACCGATGGTAGCTTCTTCACAGACTGACTACACTAACGCCCTTTAAATTAAATTGACTATTCAAAAGTGCTTATAAGAAGTCTATTTGAATAAAGTTTTGTTTCAGTCCACCTCGCAGATTATCTCGGTAGGCGTCAGAAAGTGTACCAAACGGATTACAAAGAATATTTCTTTGACACCAGAATAGAATGATAGCAACATTTTGGTTGATGTAGAGGAGAAGGAAGACAACCTATTGAAAATTACCCCTAATCCCGAGGTCGGGCGAGCCGAGTAGAAGCACATCGAAGGCAATCGGCAATATCGCAAAGAAGGTCTGTCTCAGTACGCCGCTGTCGAGGCGTCGTGGTTTGATATAAAAGTGACCATGCGGTGTCAAATAAAAAAGGTTCCGTCGAGCTATAGAGATAATCTATACATATAATAAAATATTAACAAAGCGAATTCTATACATGAAATATGTTTAAAAACAATGACTGCTACGTATTATGTACAGGAAGTATATGAACCCCAAAACAATAGTTGTTAAATTTTTTGTCTGTAGGTACATCTGTAGTATTTTTATCTGTATATCTGTGTGTATTTCACGTAAAAAGTAATAGACAGTTTTAACAAAAATAATATGTAGTGATAACTTATTACTCTACTGTGAAATTCCCACGGGAAAACACAATAATTGGTTCTATCGAATCGTCCTTAGAAATGTACATGGCTAACACTGGCCAAATCTTAAGAGATACATCAAAATAATGTACTAAAAATTGGACAGAAAAGTCCAGAATAGATATATGTCTATTTCCTAAGGTACACTCGCAATAAGTATTTTATCTATTTTTAAACTCACTTAAGGACGTACCCGAGCAAAGCGAGGGTAACTCGCTAGTTATTCATAAGCATACCTATAAACTAAACTCGTTAGTTTATGAATAACATATTGTATATTTACATATCGCCTCCCAAATTATGCCGAATAGGCAAAATTACATATACTAACCATTTAGTCTCTGCCTAAGTATCAAATAGCACATATAAGTCACAATAATAAATAGCAGATGCCAATACGTAAGTAAAATACCTAATACCTACTCTCCAGTGATTACACTCAGTCCTTTCATACCGAAAGTGGCAAGTAAATCTATTCCTCTGACTTCCCTTCCCAGACGTGACGCGAATTTTAACTTTAAGATATTGTAGATACACTACAAGATTCGCGATATATCCATCGCATTTATACGACTTGTACGGTTTCACAAAGTCATTTGCGCATGCAAACCCATTTACAGGTACATTCTGAACCGTATTACCTTATTTTAAGAGCTATATGTGTCAAAATGGTAGGATGATACGAGATAAAAATTGTGATAAATATTTTCCCTTCAACGTAAACACCAATAACTCCATATCAGCTGCACGGCTAACGCGTTATGATCGAAAATTTAATACACAATAACGCGGCCGCTTTATGGTGCTGATAGCCGTTTCTTTGTTTATCGCTCTGAGTTTATTGCTTAGTCTGTGGTTTTAGCGTTCGAAATGAATTTTTGATTATATTCCATAATAAACCTGTCGAATGCATAAATAACATTAGTATAACTAGTAACAGCGATGTGACTAGGGAACTATAACATTATATGTCTATCATATAGTATTTTATTACGCAATGCCCAAATAAAAATTGATTAAGTGCGATTCCGACATGAGGGAGGGCTCTGTATGTTATGGGATTGTAAAGGACTTTAAAGGATGAGCGTTTCTGAAGCCTTTTTTTTAGTATGAAATATATAATTAGAAAATCTGTGTTCGTTACTTTATAAGACAGTATCAAATTTTAGTATTATACACTTATCTTTGAATATCTACAATACGCTTCGTCTCTAATACATAATTTTCCTGTTCTCTAAAAGCTTAGTTTTTAAATATTCTCCACTCTTGTCAAAATTTTGATAATATTAA